TCGTGAAGGACGAGATCGAGAAGGGGAGACTTGAGCTGTCTTACTGTCCCACGTCCGAGATGGCAGCTGATTACTTGTCCAAGAAGCTCGGAAAGCAGAAGTTCGAGTACTGCATGCTGCTGACTGGACAGAGCCACGTCACCAGCAGCGACACTCCAGAAGCGAAGGGGAGTGTTGGAAACAATTGACTTAAGCGCCTCTGTCGTGTCGAAACACTAAGACATACGCGAAGCAGAACATATCGAAGCATCGGCGAGTCAACTCTCGGAGGTTGAGCAACTGCTGGAGGTTACGCGAAAGTCAAAGGTCAGCGACCTTTGACCTGACAAGCACAGAGCGACAGCAAGGACAAACAACTGACTCGTTAGTGAGCAGTTGCCCGAGTCGTCACTGTATCGAACCGCAACAGCAACAGCAAAACAGTTATTAGCTATAACCTTTCATATTCCCTTGTACTCTTATAAAAGCTTGTATCTCTTTGTTTTAATTAATCGACTTTGCCCTCACATACCAGCGCAAGGTGGTTCACAGACTTATCATTAAACGCTTCCGCTATTACACTGTTCCTACTCTGAGTTTAGTCCTGCAAAGATCCTAAGGGCTTTTCTCAGCCCAACATACGGTAGTGGCAAGCAAGTAGTGTCAGGACTGTGGCAAGAAGATGATGTGTTCAGTGTTGGAGAAACACACAATGCTGCACACGCTGCAGCCCTTGACCAACACAGATGGCAATAGCAACCCACCCACCAATGTGCTACACCAGCTATTATGCATACGATAGTACATGCCAGGTCACTTCTTGATGGGTTGAACTGCAAGCACCGTTCTCACAGAGTGCCCTTTACCATCGGCCCATGTTAGGCTTCCAAACTGGAAGCTCTTAGACGTATTGATCACTTTAAAGGTCACCATGAAAGTGACCCTTTTACCCGAAGCAATTGTAAATTTGTTGGGTGAAACTTTGATGGAGACTCCACTAAGAGGCTCGATGCTAGCTGTATATGTGGAGGAGGAGTCAGCAACGTTTGTGACCGTCCTGTTTGCTGTCGCCGTCCCTTTCAGTCGGGGGATTGAGATGCTTGGACGGTTCAACTCACGAGGAGCAACCGCCGTAAGCCTAGCTCTTGGAAAGTGCTTCTTTGCTTGCTTCATACTCTGCCCAGCTAGAAAGTTTCGATAAGCAGCTGCCCGGGCGTCGTATGTGAGCCCGGGATCCAGCAGCTTGGGTGGGAACACATGGCCAGACCCCATCTCCCACGGAGTAGCAGCCTCACCATAGCCATTATCGATGGCAGCACCGCTGGTGTCAGTAGTCTTGGCGGTGGTCATAATGGCAGACATGACCTGCGCGGGGCTCCACGAGGGGTGGTGCTGCATGATGAGAGCAGCAATGCCCGCCAAGTGAGGCGTTGACATCGATGTCCCTGACAGCTGCGAGTAGCTCCCTGGCCTCCCCACCTTCTCAGCCGGCCAAGCCGCGTAGAGATCCACGCCCGGGCCGACAATGTCGGGCTTTAAGATGCTGTTGGTGGGGAGAGTGGCGGTGGCGTCAGTGGAAGGGTCCCTGAGGGGTCCGGTGGAGGAGAAATCGGCAACGGACGGGTAGGCCGTGGCTGCAGGGGTGGTTGAGACAGATGATGAGTTGCTGCGAGCTGTCGCTGCCGGTGTAGCGGCCTTCAAGGTTATACCGGCTCGGCCAATGGTGCTGCAGGGAGGTCGAGGGAGGTGGGAGGCGGGGAAGGAAAGAGAAAGAGGAGAGGGAGGAGAGAGAAGGAAAAGCCCGGAAGCTATTATTGGTGGAGGAGTACTCGAGGAAGCAGAGTGGTGGCAAGGGATGTTGAGCAGTGAGGTGAGGGTAGAGAAGCTGCCCACTTGGCACACCAGGAGCAAACTTTAATGCGATTACCTGCTCGTCCGCTCTTGAGGTGGTAAGAGGGAAAAGAGGGAGAGGGAGGCTCACCTTGCCCCCACTGTGAGGTAGAACGGGGAGAAGTTCTCAATCGTGCGGTAACCGCTTGGGTCATAGCCCGGCGCGCCACCGTTGCCCGCTGCGAACGCAACAAGCACCCCCGCGAGGTTGGCAGCGAGGTACGGCATGTGGTGGAAGTAAGTGTCTGTGGCATCCACTCCGCCCAGCGAGAGCGAGATGGCATCCACACCGTCCGCCACGGCCTGGTTGACTGCCGCCTCCATGTCCGCCTGCACGCCGAAGAAGGAGCCCTGCGCATACCAGAGAACCTTGTACACCGCCACGCGCGCTGCTGGCGCCATGCCGCTCGCCCTGCCGCCTGCCATGGCCACGTCCCTGTTGCCCGCTGCTGCACTGCACAGTAGAGGATCAATGGGGAATGAGCGTCTCATAAGCAGGTCACAAGCTTCTCACAAATGAGGAGGATCTCAAGTGGGGTGGAGGAGGGGGGGGCGTGGCGAGGTGAGCGATGGATAGAAGCATCCGGCTCACAAGTGGCCCGGGAGGCAGTTTGAAGAGGTGTCAGGGGTTGGGATCCAGTTGATCATCTCAGATTCAACATGAAGATTTAGGCAAAACCACGTACCCTGCACACCATGCACCCTGCACACCACGTACCCTGCACACCATGCACCCTGCACACCACGTACCCTGCACACCATGCACCCTGCACACCACGTACCCTGCACCACGTGCCCTGCACACCACGTGCCCTGCACACCACGTGCCCTGCACACCACGTACCCTGCACACCACGTGCCGTGGCCGTACGAATCGCGAGGCGACAGCCAGTCTTTCGACAGGTCCGGGCCACCGGTGTCCTCCTTAAAGCCCTTGTAGAACCCCCGCGCGCCAATGAGCTTGTTGTTGCACTTGAACTCGCTCGTCGCGTCACACTTGCCCGACCAGCCAGCGGGGCGCGACGAGGGGAAGCCGGCATCAGTGAAGGAGGGGTGCTCGGGCCAGACGCCCGAATCCACCACGCCCACCACCATCCCCTCGCCCGCCTTTGCCTGCCCGCCATTCGCGGGCCACAGCGACCCGGGGGCGCGAATGCCGAGGAAGGTGGGGGAGTCGGTGGTGAGCGGCGTGACTCTGCGGCTGCGCGTCACTGCCGCCACTGCCGGGTGCCGCTGCAGCCGCCGCACCTGCTGCGGGGAAAGGGTGGCTGCGAAGCCGTTGCTCACGTGCATGTAGCTGGGGGATGGGGGAAGGGTAGGGGAGTAAGGGGGTTGAGGGGAAGTGATGGAGGAGGGAAGGTGAGGGAAGGCTGGGTAGTACGGTCGAGGGGCAAGTTTGAGCATGAAGTTTGAGGGTTTCCAAAATCACCGTGGTTTATGGGTAAATTTTGGCCCCAACGCCTTTCACTTTCGCATCGCAATTAGTGCTGCGGTGCCTCCCGAATGATGTGGGGAGTTATCATGATGTAACCAAGGATCTCAAACATGCGAGCTGCTGGTTCCGGCCTTACTCGTGACAGTCTCACCCCACGTACTTGTACACGATGCGGTCTGACGTCACGCCCACGTCAGCCGCGATTCGCGTCTGCTGCGTCTCGAGCATCTGCGCGTACGCCTTGAGCTGCGGGTTCTCCATGCTCAAACGCGCGCGCCGCGGAATGCTGCCCGCCAGCGTCGCCGCCTCGTGCGCAACCGTCTCCACCGTCGCCCGCAGACCGGACGGACCGGCCGATTCGTCGTCGTCGCCGTCCATCCATCCCGGGAAGCTCGCTATTCCGCCCCGATACGCGGCGAGGGGAAGGGCGGAGCGCAGACGCACGATATAGAGTGACGTGGACGCTGCGGTCGGCGCAGGATGGAGGGAAAGAGGAGCGACGGATGAGATGAAGCGAGAAAGGAACGAGGGGCTGGGACGAGGATGAGTGCATCGGAAGATTATTATTGCGAGCAGTCGAACCGGATCTAGGACAAGAGATCAATTCAGGCAGGAGCAAGGACGGTGTGACGTGGCTTACTACGGTGAGCTCGAATGGCGAGGCATTGACACGTGAATAAAAGGAGAAGCGCGATTTCGAGGAGGGATCTGTCTCTGGCCGTCATTTATGGCGGATCAATTGGGAGTGCGGTGTGGGGCTCGAGGTTTGAAAGAGGCGGAGACGCTGCTAGTGCTACTAGATGTTAACCTGGCAGGTTTCAACTTTCGAAGCTAGGTTGGATGGCGAGCGCGTGAAACAGCCACGTGTGTGAAATCCTCGAAGCAAATCGGGACAATCTGGCGTGCAGAAGGCCAACGCTTCTTAAGTAGCCAGCGCGATGCCCTAACTGTGAATGCAGCAGAACAGAGTAAGCAATAATTGTGCAAGAAAGCAAATGATGTGCTGAGTGACGAAAGCAGCCGAGTTGCGCCGGCGCACTTGAACATCGCAAAATCTTGGCGACGGACATTTGACTGAGACGAAGCCGCGTTGTTACCATCAATAGCATCCACCGAGCTTCGCAACCCGGCGTGGCGAGGCGCGTATGTGCTGGAACAGAGTTGACCTGAATTTGGCCCTGCCTCGCAATTTATTCGTGCAGGCGAGCATCCATGGTATTGAGAAGTTCGTTACTGTACTGTAGGTGAACTGCGACTGGTCGCCCAGAATAATGTCTTTATTCATTGGTCTCGTCAACCCTGTTCTGGAAGAAAATTTACATGACGGCCTATTCTAATATAACTCGATATACACAGGGTTGGTGGGGAAGGGAAACAAACAGGGTATTCACTATCTATCACTTTATACTGTGTATTCGTTACACTAATGTCATATTGTTCACTCTGAAAAGCCCCACTCTACTCTCCATACACTTCCACTGCCTTATACAAAAACCTCCAATCTATGACAAACTCTTCTCAAGGATGTACTAGAAGACCGGCATGGAAGTGACTGACTCCCACATTTCCGATAAACGGCATGGGCGCCATACATTCCGCCACAGATTGCAAAGAGAGGCGGAGCAACACTGATGATAGCACGCAGCAGGGAAAGCGACGTTGAGCGGAGGAGCAAGCGGGTGAGCGGATGAGAGGGTCAGAGGCTGCGGTAATCGATGACAGTGACCTCGTCATCCGGTGCATCCAAGTCGCGATAGCTGCTCACACAGGGGAGGGTGGGGCAGAGCGGAGAGAGAGAGAGGGACACGCACTGTTTGCAGCAGCGTGACTGGCATGGCATGGTTCAAGCTGCAGACGACGGCCACACATGAGTCATCACCCATGCACACACACCACCATACCTTCATGCACCCACACCACCATACCTCCATGCACCCACACCACCATACCTCCATGCACACACACCACCATACCTCCATGCACACACACCACCATACCTTCATGCACACACACCACCATACCTCCATGCACACATGACACCATACCTCCATGCACACATGCCACCATACCTCCATGCACACATGCCACCATACGTCCGTGCACACATGCTTCCATACCTGCGCATGCCACCATACCTGCGCATGCCACCATACCTGCGCATGCCACCATACCTGCGCAAGCCACCATACCTGCGCATGCCACCACACCTGCACGACACCATACCTGCACATGCCACCACACCTGCACAACACCATACCTGCGCATGCCACCATACCTGCGCATGCCACCATACCTGCGCATGCCACCATACCTGCGCATGCCACCATACCTGCGCAAGCCACCATACCTGCGCATGCCACCACACCTGCACAACACCATACCTGCGCATGCCTCGGGGGTCATGAGGAGGCCCGCCCATCATGGGCATCATTCCCATCGGCCCCATGCCCATGCCCATCCCCATCCCGCCCATGCCCATGCCCATGCCTCGCATCCCCATGCCCATCCCTCCAAACCTCCCCGGGCTGCCATACGGGCCCTCCCGTCCCCCTCTTGCCCTCCCCCCTCCCCCGTCTCTCCCTCCTGCCCCTGCTCTCCCCCGTGCTGCCTCCCCTCGCGCCCCTCCCCCGCCCCCTGACGGGGGAGGTGGGGAGCGCCCCTCCTCGCCGCCAGGAGCAGGGCCGGGCCCAGAGGCGGGGGGGAGGGGCGCATCAGGGGGCAGGTCCAGGGGCGGCCCGTCGAAGGGCGGCGGGGGCGGCGGGCCGTCAAAGCCATCGAAGAGGGAGGGCGGCGGGCGGAAGGAGGGGTCCCTCAGGATGCGTGCCGCCAGGTCTGGTGGGGCCGGCAGGAACGGTCCCAGTGGGCTGCAGCGCAGGGGTAGAGGGGCGGGCGGTTCAGGGAGAGGGGGCAGGGGGAATGAGGAGAGGGAAAAGGGTGAAAACGGAAGGAGGAAATGACAGAGAGGAAGGGCGAGGTGAGCAGAAAGAAGAGGTTGGAGATCGCGCTACTGCAGTATGGGTGTACTGTTGCTACAGCCCCTTCAACACGCAACACCCTTTGCCGGACCCAACCACTCCCACCCCTCTCCACCACCCACCCACAAACTGCCCGGCCCCTCCACACGACTATCCCCTTCGTCCCCCACCCCCTTCGTCCCCCACCCCCTTCGTCCCCCACCCCCTTCGTCCCCCACCCCCTTCGTCCCCCACCCCCTTCGTCCCCCACCCCCTCCGTCCCCCACCCCCTTCGTCCCCCACCCCCTCCGTCCCCCACCCCCTCCGTCCCCCACCCCCTTCGTCCCCCACCCCCTCCGTCCCCCACCCCCTTCGTCCCCCACCCCCTCCGTCCCCCACCCCCTTCGTCCCCCACCCCCTTCGTCCCCCACCCCCTGTGCACCTTGCTCTCCACCCCACCACCCTCCCAACGCCACTCACCCAGCACCGGGCACGGGGATGAGCACGGGCGGCAGCGGCCCTCCAAACGGCCCCCCTGGGCCGCCCGGCGGGCCTCGTCCCATGTGCGGCGGCATGGGCGGCCCAAAGGGCGGCATGGGGGGCGGCGGGCCGTCAAACACGTCGAACACGGGCGGCCCGTCCAAAGGCCCCCCCGGGCCGCCCATGAGCATGGGCGGGGGAGGGCCCTCCATGGGCGGCCCCCTCTCCTAAAAAATCCCCCCCCCTCTCCCCGGCCCCATGAACTCCCCTCCCCCGCCCCCTTCAAACCTCTCCATCCCCTCCGGCCCCTCCTCCCGCCCCCTCCTCTCATACCTCTCCCCCTCGCCCCCCCGCCCCCTGCCCCCGCGACGGTCAAACACATCCCCCTCGTACCGCCCGCCCCTCTCCCCTGGAAAGGGCTCCCCAGCGTCAGGGGGGGGAGCGCCCATGGGCGGAGGGGGGCCACCAGCAGGGCGGTCAAAGGGCGGGGGGCGGTCAAAGCGGTCGGGGGGGAAGGCAAAGGGGTCGGGGGGAGGAGGCAGTCGCGCACCCAGACGGGCCGACATGGGCACTGGCGAGTGCCCGTGCCCTCCCCTCTCCCTCTCCCTCTCCCTCTCCCTGTCTCTGTCCCTGTCCTCCCTTCCCCTGACAGGGGCGTTGGGGTCGCTGCATGGGGGGGGTGAGGGGAGGACGGACGGGATGAAGGAGAGGGAATGATGGGAGAGGGAATGATGGGAGAGGGAATGATGGGAGAGGGAATGATGGGAGAGGGAATGATGGGAGAGGGAATGATGGGAGAGGGAATGATGGGAGAGGGAATGATGGGAGAGGGAATGATGGGAGAGGGAATGATGGGAGAGGCCAAGTGGAGCGGAATGGGCAGCAGCAGAATGGCAAGGCAAGACAGTCACACGCTCCCCCTCCACTGCACTCACATGTCATTCAGTGAGCCACCCTCAAATGACACTCCCACATCCCACACACTCCCATCCTTCATCATCTTTCAACCCATCATCCCCTCACCGCCACCCTCCCCGCCACCCCTCACCGCCACCCCTCACCACCACCAACACCCCTCACCGCATGTAGTTCTCCTCATACACCTCCTCCTTGACGCGGTTGGTCTGCTCCGCCACCTGCTCGGGGTGCTTGAGCTTGAGGTGCTTGATCACGAACTCAGGCCCGTGGAACAGCTTGGAGCACGCGGGCGCACTGCACCCGTACTTCCACCCGTACTTGTCGTCCTTGATCTTCCGCACCATGCCCTCCATCGCCCCCCCCATGCGCGCCTCCACACGCGCCTTGCCCACCAGCGCCACCACCGGGTCCTCCCCCTCCGCCCCCACACGCACCCTCCACTTCTCATCCACCCGCCGCGCCCAAGCTTCAAACCCCTCCGCGCCCTCTCCACCCCCTGCGCCCTCACCCTTGCCCTCCCCGCCCTCATCCGCGCGCACGTGGCGCAGCCCCTTGGGCAGCCCGCGCAGCTCCGTGCCCCCATAGTAGTCGGCGCCGTGCACGCGCCACAGGTACGTCAACACCGCGTCCAGCAGCGCCCCGCCCGCCAGCCACCGCGCCTCCCCGCCACCCTCCCCTGCGGGCACGCGGATCTTCACCGCCTCGTCCTCCGCGCCCGCCTGGTTCTCCCCCAGCAGGAAGTTCCCCCCCTCCGCGCCCCCCTGCGCGCCCCACAGCCCCTTCTCCGCGTCCAGCTTGCCCACGAGCGCCAGCGCCCTCGCCAGGTCGTGCGCCACGCGTGCAGGCTGCCCTGCAGCAGCCGGGACGCGCGGAGCGGCGGCGGCGGCGGTGGCGGCGTCGTGTGTGAGGGAGGGGCGGAAGGAGGCGCTGCGCCGCCTCGCATCCGTGGCTGCTAGCGGGTCACGTGGATCCGCGTAGGGGCCGCTGGTGAGGGGGGAGGGGGATGGTTTGGGTCGGGGAGGAGAGGGGAGTCAGGGCATGGGGTGGGGTTGAGGTGGCAGCATGAGGCGGGAGAAACGAGTAGAAGGAAGTGAGAGGAGCAAGTTGGGAGGGGTGCGAGAGCATGAAAACGATTGCACAAGAGAGGACGGCGAGGGTGCATGCAAGAGAGGGGAGAGGCGGTGAGGGCGTGAAGTGGTGAGGCGGTAATGGGGTGAGGTGGTGCGGCGGTGAGGGGGTGAGGGTTGAGGCGGTGAGGCGGGGAGGCACTGACAGGTCGGCGTCGCCGCGCTGCAGGCTTTCGAGAAACTGCTTGCTCTCCAGCTGTGCGAACTCAATGCGCCTGATGGGGTGGGCACAGCACACAGCACACGCACAACATCCCCCCCCCTCCCCCCCCCCCCCCCCCCACACCCCCACACCCACATCCACACCCACGCCCACACCCACACCCACACCCACACCACACCCACACCCACCACACGCACACCCACACATGCACCACGGGGTCAGGGAGGTGGGCGGGAGTGACGGCACGTCAGGGAAGAAGAGCGCAGGGGAAAGAGGAGAGAGGAAGGGGAAACGGGAAAGGGGAAAGGAGAGGGCGGAACGGGGAGGGGAAACGGCAGAAGGGGGCAAAACAAAGCAACGCAGGCAGAGCGCGACGTTGATTGGCAGTTGGCACGGGAGTGGAGCAGTGGCATGCATGGCATGAGCAAGAGCGAGCAGGCAGCGCAGTGGGCTCACCTGTCAACGAGGCTCTCTAGGCGAGCCGGGTCGTAGAGCGCTCGTAGCCTGGCGGCCAGCAGGGACGCCGCAGCACGCACAGGGGGGGCGGAGGGGGCGAAGTGGGGCGGTGGAGGGCAGGGAGAAGTCAGGGTTGCGGTGAGAACAATCAGAGGCGAGACGTGGCGGAAGGATGGTGGAGCATGGTGGTGAGCGGTGGTGCAGGTGCGCACTTGTTTGTGAACGAATACTTCACCACAAATCTTGTGAGGCGCTTCACCACAAAAGTGCAAGCAATTCCACTTCCCAGCCATAGCTGTCACACCATCTAATATGCCTTACCAAGGACTTTCCCTCTATTTCGACATTCACCTTTCAAAAACATCGTTCCAAATCTACCCAAAAAATAAGGTTAGGCAGAAATAAGGTGGGGACTAACCATTCCTCATTCCTGTGGTGGTGGAAGAAGGCCTTCTTCTGTGCCGCCACGAACTTGGTCTTGTAGTCCCCGTACCTGGTTGGGGGAGGGGGGAGGCGAGGGTGACGAGGGAAGCGAGAGAGGTGCAAAAGGGAGAGACGAATGGGCAGTGCAGCACATGAGAGGCCAACCGGGGGCAGCAGCAGCAGAGGGAAGAGGGCAGAGGGCAGAGCAGCAAGGTGCAAAAAAACGACGTTTTTTTCAAATTTTGATCGTAAAATACCGTATCGTAAGAAACGATCGTAAAAAACGATAAAAAACGGTTTTTGAAAATAAATACTTTTGGTGCAAAAAAACCTTCGGTTTTTTCAGTTAAAAGGCCAAAACTGCTGCTGAAACAAGGGGATTGATTGGTGAGAAGAACAAGGGGGCCGTTAGAAGTGTTGATGATGCAGCGGAAGATTGTTAGAAGTGCTTTTGTGATCAGAACAGCATCTTTGAAGTTGAAGAGTTTTTTTTGTCTAACAAAAAAACGTCGTTTTTTTCCCAAAAGGTACCGTAAAAAACCATCGAAAAAAACAATCGTATTTTTCGACAATCGTTTTTTTCTACCTTGCAGAGCAGAGGGCCAATGAAAAAGGAAGAGCCAATATGCGCACCTCTTCTCGGCGTCAGCAGGTGACACGTCATCGTCCAGGTCAGCAATGAACTGCTTGTAGGTGAGCGGCCCGTCAGCTGGCGGTGGCCTGCTGTCACAATAGGGGGCCCATGGGGGCACACGGGGACACACAGGGGCACACGGGGACACACGAGGGCACACGGGGACACACGAGGGCACACGGGGACACACGAGGGCACACGGGGAGACACGAGGGCACACGGGGAGACACGAGGGCACACGGGGAGACACGAGGGCACACGGGGAGACACGAGGGCACACGGGGAGACACGAGGGCACACGGGGAGACACGAGGGCACACGAGGGTGTGGTGATGAGTGGGGAGAGGTGGTGGCGAGAGCACGAGACGGTGGAGGGGAAGGCAGAGCAGAACACAGAGCAGCGACGCAATGGGGAGTGGGCGGTGATGGTAAGCGCACAGCACAGCACGGCACGGAGGGCAGTGAGGCACGGCGCCATGTGAGGATGCACATGCACGGACGAAGCAGCTGTGCCCATCAGCACTGTGTGGGCGCGCCCCCCACAGCCACCCCCTCCACCCAATCACCCATCCATCCACCAATCCACTCACCCCACCACTCCACCACCCCACCACGTCACCACGTCACCTGCGGGGAGGCCCGTCGGTGGGAGGGTAGTGTGGCGGGTACATGGGGGGAGGCGGGGGACCGCCGCCACCTGGCAGCATGTCATAGGCTGACGGCCGCCTGTAGCGATCCGCGCCTGGTGGGGGCAGCGGCGGGCAGAGTGGGGGGGGAGCGACAGGAGGGGGGCGAGTTAGCAGGCTACAGGCGGCGAGGGGGTCCAAGGCGGGGGGTATGACAGGGTAGCAGGGCGGGTGGTGCGGCGGGTGGGACATACCTCCGATTTTAACCCCAATGGCGCACCTCGAATGCCGTACCTCCACTCCCGTACCTCCACTCCCGTACCTCCACTCCCGTACCTCCACGTACCTGGTGGGGGCCCGGGGGGGGCGGGCAGGCGAGCATAGGGATCGTCGGGGGCGAACGGCGGCATGGCGCGCGGCGCATCGTAGGGGTGCCTGCGGTGGCGCGGGCAGGGCGGGAGGGGTAGCAAGCGGCGAGGTGGGAAAAGGTGAGCACGACAGGACGCGAGCGACTGAAGGCGGCGACGATGACGGCAGGCAGGCAGGCAGGCGGGGATGAGTGAGGCGGACGCGCATGGTGTGGCGGGAGACGCGCATGGATGAAACGCGCATGTGTTTCCTCACATGCGCAGCAGCGAGGGGATATGCGGGGCAGCGAGCGGAGATGCGCGGCAGTGAAGGGAGATGTGCGGAAGTGAGGGGAGAGCGGAGCAGGTGCAAGGGAGGAGGAAGGCAGCGGGAATGCCTCAGAGGAACCGACTTGCCTCCAGCAGACGAGTCGCCGCCACCGGTACCACCAGCAGCACCACCAGCAGCGCCGCGTTGCTACACTCGCTCGGAGCGAAGGGTGCCACTTGCAGCACTGGGCAGTGAGCTACTCTTACTGTGCTCGCTACTCCTACTCCTACAGCACGAGAATCGATGGGCGCGCTACCACTACGATGCTCTGTCTGCGCTACCCCTAATCACCAGCAAGATACTTTACAAGAGCGGTGCGAGAGGTAAGCGATTTGATCGGCTGAGAGGCGAGTGGGACGCGACGTGAAATTGAGGGGCGAGAGGCGAGAGGCGTATCTGGAAGAGAGTGAACGCTCCATGGACTGAGAACTACGAAAACTGGAGGAAGAACGAGTTACGCGAAATCAGACATAGCGCGGAGCTTCGTAGAGGGGAATCATGCTCCTGCGCCGGCCGGCACGCGGAGCGTCTCGCAGCGGAGCCCTGCAAGAAGCGTGAGAAGCGCGCGAGCGCTTCCGATGACCCCCTCTTCACACACCGACCTCCCCCGCGCGCGACGATTCAGAAGCTAAGCGATTTAGAAAACCGGATGGCAATGAGCAGCGGGCGAAGCAAGACGCAGCGCGGGTCAGAGCGCTGCGGCGGCGGTGCGACTGGCGGTTCTCTCAGCTTGAAAAGGGAAACCAAAAAAGGAATCACACAATTGCACGACGGGGGCAGGGAGACTAACCTTTTCCCCGGGGAGCCGTATCGCGGCGAGGGCCGCCGCGGACTCGCGCTCCGCCGCCTCTTGTAGTCGCGCTCGCGCTCCCTCTCGCGCTCCCGATCCCTTTCCCTCTCCCGGTCTCTATCTCTATCCCTGTCCCTCTCCCTATCCCTATCTCTGTCCCTGTCTCTGTCTCTGTCCCGATCGCGATCCCTGCCGCGCTCCTCGTGGCGACGGTCGTGCGAATCGCTGCGGCGACGGTCGCGGTCGTCGCCTCGGGCGCCTCGGTCGTCCCTCGGGCGCGACGAGCTCCTCTCTCGCGACCGATCCCGATCGCGCTTCCGATCCGACGACCCCGCTCGCCGCTCCGCATCGGGTGGTGGGGAAGTTCCCGACGCCATTACAACAAAGTGAGAGCCAAAAACCGACTGAGGAAAGAAGTAATGAACAGTGGCAAGAATGACGATGTGATGTGATGGTGGGATGAACGGCTGAGCACGAGAAGGGTTTGGTTGGAAACCTGAGTAGCTCGTAACTTGGAAAGTGTTACAAGTTTTAAAAATTGTTATGAGCTGTAAGGAAATTTCCTCTTCCTTATCGGGGTTGACTGCTACGCGTACAACCTCAACCTTTTCGGACTTCGCACGTTCGGCCAACATCTACGATTCCGAAGCTAATCCGCGTCGCCTTCGGTATTTCCCTTCGCCAAACCTGCACTCAACCTCGTATTCCCGATGTTCCCGCCTAACGAGGGTAGCGACTATATTTTCACGTGTCTTCATTGTATTCTCAGTTCATTGAGTCACAGCTTCGATATTCGTTTTCCGCACTGTTGGAATAACCGAAAGGTTATTATAAGCATTCCCGAAGGCTCTCCACTGTTGCGTCTCCTCATAGCGAAGCAGACGCTTGTACAGTACCGCACTAGCTCATATAGAGCACGCGGAAGGTCGAGGGTCACCCGAAGGTCAACAGTCGAAGACAGTCAACGGTCGTGACCCTTGACTGCCCAGTAACCGCACAAGGCAGTTGCGAAGTGCAACATGGTAACTGTCTAGAATAGCAAAAGTCGTGGGTTACGTAGCAATGCAATTCAGTTAATAAGGGAATGTACCCCTCAGAGTACATGGCTAGCTAGGTTTGCTTTTTATACTCTTGTACTCTTACCTTATCATCATCTTGTTCTCTTTCAAATTTACCAACGAAGTCATTACAGAGACTTCACAGTTCTCTCCTTTACACTTGGCATCCTTATCCTATCTACTACGATTCTTCAGTAATAACATCACGCACAACTCTGTTTTATAACTCCATAACACCTGGTATCATAGCTACTTTCCTACTTCACCCCGCTTTTTTAGGGTAGTTTAGTGGCACGGGTTGGCTGGTACAGTGGACTGTACGACGGTTGGCTGCAAGGTTTGTTAACTTAAACCTGCCCGACTCCGATAGATCTTACTTTCCACTTGCCTGAAGGCCACGGATACTCGCCTGCCCACTAGACGAAGTGCACGATTCATGGACCAGGAAGCAGTTAACAAAATGATGACGCAAATGGCAGAAATGCAGGAGAGCATGAAGACATTAATGACAGAAGTGGAGCATCTACGTGGAGAAAACGCCGAGCTACGCCAGGCGCGAAGTGAAGCGCGCCAGGATTCGCCCGTTGAAGAAGGCGATACCACAAGTCATAGAGTGAACATCATCGCTACAAGTGGCGAACTCACACGCGGCAATGATGAGAGCGATAGGCTGGCAGCGCCGACACCAACAACACTTGCAGTTACTACAATCAAGATAAAACACGCGAGCCTGTCAAAGTTATATCTACTTTAGTTATCTAGCCTATAGTGATTTGCATGTTAGGGGGTACATCAATTCCCTCGACACTCTCTTGTACCCCACCCTTTGACCTAGTCGACCATTCCTACCTTCTTAGTTCAACATGGTATTAAGAGCCATTAAGTCCTTAAGACCAGAATTTTAAAAGGGCCTACCGTTAAGTTTTCGATTTCGTGCCCGAATCGCGCCCCTAGGCGCGTCCCGTTTTTTTTATCCTGCCCAAAACGCTCCCTAGGCCGTCGATTTTTCCTGCCTAGCCACGAGCGCCCCACTGCCCAGCCCGCGCGCCCCGCTGCCCAGCGCACGTGCCCCGCTGCCCAGCCCGCACGACGCACTGCCCTGCAGCCCGTGCGCTGCCCTGCCTGCACGCTACGCCCGCTGCTCGCGCGCTGCCCCTGCTGCTCGCGCGCTGCATTTGCTGCCCGCGCGCTGCTCGCCCTGCCCGCGAACTGCTAGCGCGCTGCTGCACCTGAGCTGCTGCTGCCGCACGCGCTGCTGCGATGTGCCCTGCCAACCGCGCTGCCGCGCGCTGCTGCTCCTACTGCGTACGTTGCTGCTGCTACGCAGCTGCTGCCAACCGCGCTGCTGCTGCTCTTCTGCAGCGCCTGAGCTGCTACTGCGCCTGAGCTGCTGCTGCCGCTCGAGCTACACTGCTGCTGCTGCTGTCAAACATTATACATGTTCATATTGTGTAGGCTATAGTGGGTTTACCCTTAGGGGGTACAACATTGCTAGGGTTTCCTACTTGTATCACCCTGCTGCCTAGTTTCATCATTCTCGTTCAGTTCTACATTCTGACATGGTATCCGACGCCTAGGTCAGGACCTAGGACCGACGTTGGTTAGGGCCCACCGTTCCGCCGCGCCCTTGCGCGACCGTGTCTGATAGTACCTCGCGCCGTCGAGCGCCCTTCTTAGCGCCGTCGAGCGCCCTTCCTTGCGCCGTCGAGCGCCCCTTCTAGCGCCGTCGAGCGCCCTTACTAGCGCCGTCGAGCGCCCCTTCTAGCGCCGTCGTGCGCCCCTACTCGCGCCCTCGAGCGCCACCCTGCCGCCCTGCCCTGCAGGCCGCGCGCGGGCCTCCTCTGCACCCGCGCAGCCGCCCCTGGACCCCGAGGCACGGCCCCTGGACCCCGCGACACGTCGCCCTGCTCGTCGCGACGCCTCTGCGGGACCCCGGCGTTGCCCCTGCCTCGTCGCGACGCCCCTACGGGACCCGCGCGTCGCCCCTGCCTCGTCGCGACGCCCCCTGCGGGACCCGCGCGTCGCCCCTGCCTCGTCGCGACGACCCTGCGGGACCCGCGCGTCGCCCCCGCCTCGTCGCGGCGCTTCTGCGGGACCCACGCGCGTCGCCCCTGCCTCGTCGCGACGCCCCCGCGCGACCCGCGCGTCGCCACCGGGACCCGCGCGCGTCGCCCCTGCCTCGTCGCGATGCCCCCGCGCGACCCGCGCGTCGCCACTGGGACCCGCGCGGAGTCGCCTCTGCTCGCCGCGGCGCCCTGCCCTACCCCGCGCCCGCCCTTGGGACGGCCGCCCCTGGCCCCTGGAGCAGCCGCCACTGCAGCAGCCGCCCCTGGCCCCTGGAGCAGCCGCACCTACAGCCGCCCCTGGACCCTGGAGCAGCCGCCCCTGCAGCAGCCGCCTCTCGCCACCTGGAGCAGCCGCCACTGCGGGAGCCGCCCCTGGCCCCTGGAGCAGCTGCCGTCGCGGCCCGGCCCCGCCCTGCAGCAGATTCCGCGGAGCTCCCTGCCGCGGCCCGGCCCCGCCCTACAGCTGTAGCGGCCCCGCTGTCGCCGCCGTCTTGCGCCTGCCCTTCCCACCACTGGTGAGCACTGCCCTGCCCGCGCTGCTACCGCTGCTACTGCTACTACTGATTTTACTGCTCCTGTTGCTACTGCTGCTAGTGCTTTTACTGCTCCTGCTGCTACTGCTGTTACTGCCGCTACTGCTGCTACTGCTGCCCCTAGCGTGGCCAGATGCAGCTCCACGGCCGTCCGCGTGTGTCCCTCACGCCCCAGCAGCTTCGTGAGTGGTACGCCAGTTGGGGTTGTCGGGGTGGGCGTAGTGGGATTCGTCCTGGAGTGGGTAGTTCGGGAGCTTCTTGTAGTGGCCCGGTGCAGCAGCAGCGTCGTCCGCGCGAGCCTCTTTCGCCCCAACAGCTTCGTGAGTGGTACGCTCAGAGTAGAGGGTCGCTGAGTACTGCTCGCTGCCCGTACGTTATTAGCACGGGTGCCCGGACTGGTCAGCCTTGCGGGACGCGTGGTCACACAGAGTCCCACTGCTTCGCCCGTCTGAGCGACGCTTGGCGTACAGAGTTTGGCGGCGACGCTGAGCTCCCCGACTGGGTGGAGCTACTTAGGCAGAGGGTAGATATCTTTGCTCTTGACTATGATGCTATCCTCACTGCCATGTATGCATTGTCTACTAGTGCTGAGGGTGCCTGTCACCTGTGTGTGCCGCCTGACCCCGGTATCCAGTCTGCTGCTCTAGGTACTGGTGAGGCTGCTGCTCTAGGTGCTAGTGTGTCTACTGCCCCAGGTCCTGGTGAGGCTGCTGCTCTAGGTGCTAGTGAGTCCGCTGCTCCAGGTGCTCGAGCGTCTGCGTCTGCTGGTACTGAGTCTACTGAGGCACTGCACACCTTCACACTGGACTCGGGTGCTTCCCGTTGCTTCTTTCGTGACTGCACTGTCCTTGAGCAGCTAGCTTGGCCTGTTGCTGTCTCCCTGGCCGACCCCTCCGGGGGCCCGGACCTTGCGACCTCCTCCACTGTCCTCCCTTGTCCTGCGGTCCCGTCCGGCACCCTGTCAGGTCTCTATCTCCCCTCGTTCTCTACGAACTTGGTGGCGGGCTCTGCTCTCCAGGACGGGGGTGTTCACCAGTTCACCCCTGCCCACGAGCGCGTGACCCACTGCACGTGTGCTCGGACGGGTCGCCACCTGGCTACCTTCACTCGGCAGCCGGGGTCGGACCTGTACACACTGACCACTGAGTCCCCTCAGGTAGCTGCGTCTGCGTCTGCGTCAGGTCAGCTGTCGGCCCCCTGCTCGTGTCGCTCCCTGGCGCACGAGACCGTCCTCTGGCACCACTGCCTTGGTCACCCGTCAGTGCAGCGCCTTCGTGGCATGCACTCCTGGTACCTTGTCTCTGGTCTTCCCAGGGTTCTCCCTCCCCTCCCACCCTCGCCTGCTCCTCCCTGTCTTCCCTGTGTCGAGGGGCGGCAGCGCGCCGCTCCTCACTCCTCCTCGTTTCCCCCGACGACTGCTCCCCTGCAGACGCTCCACATGGACGTGTGGGGCCCAGCCCGCGTCCGTGGACAGTGTCACGAGAGGTACTTCTTGATAGTTGTTGACGACTACTCGCGCTACACCACGGTCTTCCCCTTGCGCACCAAGGGTGAAGTCCCTGATGTTTTGATCCGTTGGATCCGCGCTGCCCGTCTCCAGCTCAGCGAGAGGTTCCACTCGGACTTTCCTGTCCTGCGTCTGCACTTTGACAGAGGTGGGGAGTTTTCCTCCGACCTCTTGAGGGCCTTCTGTCAGGGGGAGGGCATTGAGCAGTCGTTC